AGTTCTTTCTAAAAGTACATAGCAGTAGCATAAGACAGTATTTAAGGGGAGCCATTAGCTGAAGATAGTGAAAACTAACATCCATAGTGGAGTAGAGATGGAAACCAAAAGCATTGTAAGTACATTCGCAGCCCTGCAGCATTGGATTGCATAAATTTTCTCTCCTTAAACATGTGTTGGCCACACGTGCCTAGGTACTCATAACCTCTGTATATACTCATTTTCCCTGCTTATGTTGTGTGTATCTGTGGGAAAGAGTACACCAGGTTTATGGGGAAGGGGAGGAGGAGATATTATATTGCTCTTATCCATATTATCCCATTTCAGTAAATGCCTTTGCCTTGAGTTAATATGACTATTAAAGGTAAACGCATTTGTGAGGGCTCAGGAGGTTTGATTTTTAGGAGTTCAGATGGACAAGGTACCTTGAACCAGAAGTAGTCATCCCCTGGCCCAATATGGAGTGAACTGAGTCAGTTCAGAAAAACAGAACAGGTTAAAGCTTCCATGCTTTGGTTTTTGTATTTTCACTCTGGGGAAGAGAGAAAGAAAGAAAGAAAGAAAGAAAGAAAGAAAGAAAGAAAGAAAGAAAGAAAGAAAGAAAGAAAGAAAGAAAGAAAGAAAGAAAGAAAGAAAGAAAGAAAGAAAGAGAAAAAGAGAGAAAGAGAGAGAAAAAGAGAGAAAGAGAGAGAGAGAAAGAGAGAGAGAGGAAGGAAGGGAGGGAGGGAGGAAAGACAGAAGGGAAGGAGGGAGAGAGGGAGGAAGTCTAAAATGGAAATCAGATCTGAAGAGGCATGGAAGCGTCCTAATCTGGCTGAGGTTGGGGAGCAGATTGAATCCATTCTGCTCTAGACTTTCCTCTGAACTCCACCGTTCCAAATCTGAGAACCATTCACGCATTACACAGAAAAGAACACAGGATTGGAAGTTGGAAGACTTGGCTTCTAGAGCACCAGTAAAATGATGTAGTAGAAAGACAACTAGACTTAGGATCAGGAAACTAGGGTTTGTGTTTCCAGCTCTGCCAGTGAATGACTATGTGACCATGGACAAGTTGTTTCACTTCCCTGAGCCTCAGTTTCTTTGTCAGTAAAATGGGGATAATAATGCCAGCATTGCCCAACATAGTTTTAATGAAGAAAAAGGCTTTGTAGATCTTATTGCGTTATATAGAAATAGAAATGTCACTAGTGGATTAGACAGCTAGGTGGAGCAATGGATAAAGTGTTAGGCTTGGAGTCAGGAAGATCTGAGACACTTAATAGCTATGTAATGCTGAGCAAGTCACTTAACCCCTTCCAGACTTAGTTTCCTCATCTGTAAAATGGGCATAGTAATAGCACCTACCTTACAGGGTTGTTGTGAGGATCAAAACAAATAGCACACATGGAGTGCTTTGCAGACCTTAAACTACATAAATGCTAGCTTAATTAGCATTACAAGTAGTCATATTCATATTGCTGGTAGGAGGAGGGTAAGAGGCCTGGATGATCTCTAAGGGCCCCCCAACTCTGAAATGTCATTGACTGCTGCAGCAGTGTGTATGACCATAGTTCTGAGAGGCCAGTAGGTGGCAGCTGAACTCCGTGCCTCCCCAGGGCAGTACTGGACATCTGCTTCCACCCTGATCCCTTCCCCAGGCCGGAACAGGAGGCTGAGAGACAAAAGCATTGACCTCTTGCTGACCCTGTTTGCCCAGTTCTTCAGGTTGGGGCCTGGGCCTGATTCAGCTGTCCCAGGCCCCTGCCCACCCCCTTCCAAACTTCTCCTTCTTGTCAGCCCCCCTTCAGGGTTCCTGCTGGCAGGGGGTACAGTAGGCGGGGCTGAGAAGTAGAAAGGGGTGTCAGAGGAGGATGAGGCGACAGCTGCAGGACAAGAGAGAGACTGAGGAGAGAGACAGTCAGACTGAGCTCAGATCCTGGAGTTTAGAGCCTGGATCCCAGAACCCAGCTCCGGACTTGGGGAACAAAAGACCAGATTAGACTTCCCACCAGGAAAAGGTGTGTGGTGGGAATGTGGGGGTGGGCCTAAATAAAGGTCTCATTGTAGGCACCTACTATCCACTATTGCTCTCCTCCTTCCCTTCTCTTCTCCCCCGCTGCCCCCCACCCAACTCCCAGGGCCCCGACCCTAACCAAAACATTGCCTCTCTTGGAGAGTTCCTCTCCATCCCTGAGCGCTGCTCCTTCCTAAATATTCATCCTAGCTCCTGACCCATCCCCCTCCACTTTCTGATAATGGGATGCATAGCCCCCTTCCTCTGAAAAAAAAAAAAAACAATACTGTACTCCAACCTGGGTTCTATTCCTAGGTCTCTCCTAGACTTGGGAAGTGGCCTTAGCATATAATGATAATATGACTATAATTAATAGCAATGTTAATAACTCCCATTTCCAAGGCACTCTGAAGTTCTCAAAGTGCTTATTCTTCCATTGAAGCCAGGAGTGTAAATACTCTCACCCCTGACTTCAGATAAGAAAACTGCTCCTTCTTGTCTCAGGCTTTTATCCAACTCTATCAAATGAAGGAATTGATAAGATTATTTCTAAGATCTCTTCTAGATCACATGGCCTATAAATCTAAGGTGTTCAGACCCTGGAAAACCAGAAAGCTTTCATAACCCAAAGAAATGAATAGCTAATGGTGAAATATCAGGTGCTGTAATATTGGGAAGGCAGGAGGAAGGAATGACCATTCCTGTTAGATCAAACCATGTTAGTGATAGCAAACTCATCCTCATCCATGAGCTTCTTGTGCTCTAGGGATTTGGGAAGAGCTGCCCTCTTCTCCAGAAGAGATCCCAGGCATCCTTAGCCTCCAGACCCTACAAAGCCTGAAGATTCAAACAAAATCAAAGGCAGAGGTGGGAGTAAGTGGGGAAGCTCCCTGCTGTTTTCAGCATATATGGAGACAGCCACTGAGAGAGGAGGATGGCCCTAAAAAGCAGAGGCCTTCAGAAGACTTGGGGGAGTCTTACCCTGTATTTTGGCTAGATGTGGGATGACTATGGAGCTACTTGGATCCAACTTTCAAGGGGAGAAGGGGAAAGAACAAGCATTGATTAAGTGCCTACTATATGCCAGGCGCTGAGCTAAGCACTTTACAAATATTTCATTTGATCTTCACAACAACCCTAGGAGGTAAGTGCTATTGTTATCCCTATTTTACCATGGAAGAAAATGAGACAGAGAATCAGGACTGCACAGTGTCTGAGATATGATTTGAACTCATCTTCCTGGCTCCAGGCCCAGCATTTTATCCGCTATGCCACCTAGCCTCTTTAAGGTGAAACTGTTCATAGTTAAGAGAATTTAGAGTTGGAAAAGGCTTTAAACTTTATCTAGAACAACCTCCTCATTTTACAGAGAGGAAAACTGAGGTCTGGAGAAGGGAAGCAACTTACCCAAGGTCACTCTGGTAGTTAGATAGCAGATTTAGAATTTTAACCCAGGACCTCTGATTCTAAATCTCATTCTTTTCCCATTGAATCATAGTATCTTTCTGGAGGACTGTAGTCCCTCATAATCCAGGGGCCCCAGGACAGTGTCTCCCCTCTCAACGCCACCTCCATTTGCCTCTTTTTGACTACAGTCAGAGGCCAAGCATCAGGTATATGTTGGGGGAGTTAAGGAACAGGGGCTTCATGGTTGTTGGTGGAATCTGGGTTTTGCCTGTGTCAAAAACAGTCGTTTTTGAATGCATGGGCTGGGGGTGGGGCGGGTATGTTAAAAGGAGCCAAGGGAGCTTTAGAGTCTACTAAAACAGGATGTCATCCCCCCCCCCCCATTGGCACCATTTTCTCCCTCTCACTCCGGAAAAATCACAGATGATTAAGGGGAGAGGGCAAAGTCATTGCTCCAAGGACACTGAATTTTGTGGGTAAGGAACTAAGAGGAGGCAGGAGAGGGGAACAGAGAGGCTGAAGGTTTTGAGGAACTGGGAAGGGTAAGGTGGTAGGAGGATTGAAGGGACTAAGTAAGGGAGGGGAATGAGAGGTTCAAGGACTGAGTAGCTTGAGTGAAAGGTGGGAAGCGGAATGAGGTGGAGAGAACCGAAGGGACTAGAGGGGCTGAGGTCCTGAAAAGACTGAGGGCCTGAAGGGTTGAAGAACTGAAGCTACTGAGGAAGCTAAGCTGAGGTATTCGGGTGACTAATGGGCTGAGGGGCACTGAAGGCCTGAAGGTGGAACTGAGGAGCTGACCGCGGAACTGAGGTTACGAGGGAGATGATGGGAACTGAGGGTCTCAAGGACAGGTCAGGAGGCTCTTCTGCGTGTCGGAAGGAGAGTCCTGGTTAACTGGGCTGGGGAGGAAAGCCGGGGCTGCAGGCGAGGAGGGAGGCGACGGGCGGGGCCGGGGGCGGGGTGCACAGTCCTCTTCCACCCTCTCTCGGCTCCGGCCCCGCCGGGACAGCCACCGAGCCTTTGGCTTCCTCTGCCACTCCTCAGGCAGCTGCTGTGCCCGTCCAGGCGCACGGCGCAGGTAACCACGGTGGCCGGCCACTGAGGGAGCGCCGGACCGAACAGCGGGGGACTCTCGCCGTCCCGGCCCAGCCCAGCCCCTACTCTGTGTCTCCCTCCTTCCAGCGGGGGCGCCGGCCCCTCCCGTCCCCGGAGCCGAAGCTAGAGCCCGAGCCCGAGCCGTCAGCGCAGCGAAAGGAGCAGCGCCAGCCCTGTGGGACTAGCAGGGGCCGCAGCCGCTGTCCGCGGTTCTGAAATGAAGGTGGCGGCGCGCCTTCGGCCCTGAGTCCCAGAGCAGGCGGCGGGGACGACGGAGGGAGGAGCCGCCATGCGGGCGGCCCGGCCGGCGGACGCCTCCCTGCTCTACATCCCCGCCACGCTTCTGCTCTGCCTCAGCTCCGCCAGCCTGTGCTTGGTGGAGGCGGGTAAGGGGCCCGCAGGGTCGGGACCGGGGGCGGGAGGGCTGTGGAAGCGATACAGTTAACTCCCGGGAGGATTCTACTGGGGGAAGACCCAAGCTTTGCCCTTGGGGGCGAGGAGCCGGGGAATCAGACAGAAGGAGAAAAGACGGGTAGGGGGTTCTTTTTTCAGACTGCCCCTCAGTCCCCCCCCCACCATCTTGTCCATTTCTCAGCCCGTTGTCCTCCACCCCTAACTCCCCGTCTTCCCATACCCTCACTTCCAGGTCTCTGTCCCCCAGGCCCAATCTTTCCTTTCCCAATTTGTCCCTCAACACACTTAACCGCTGTCCCTCACCTTTCCAATCCCTCATTTCCTAGGCCCTGTCGGTGCCCTTCCCTACCTTTGTGCCCCTAACTCCAGATCTGTTGTTTCACCACTGCCCTCCAAATCTTTCAGTCCACTGATCACCATCTTACATTCCCATTGCGCCCCTCTTGTCTGGACTCTGGTGTTTGTTCCCAGGTTGCCCAAGGCCCTCTCTCTAGCCCACGAGGGAGCAACTGGAGTGGTAGCAGAGAACATAGGACTAGTCTTTGGTGCCCCGTCTGTGCCCCTTTTTCTACCCTCCCCCCAGCCTTAAGGTATAAACTCAATCTACATTCCCTTACCCTCCCCCCACTTGCAAAGTATTCAAACACACATACAGAGCACAGCACAACACAGAAACACTCCTTCAAGTGAATTCTTCAGGACTGAGAGCCTGGAACAGGGCAAGGGGTTGAGGGTATGTGTGTTAGGCAGAGATGCTCGAGATGAGTTGGTACCTGTAGTTTGGAAAGAAGAAATATTTTACCCAGTGATTATATCAAGGAAAATGTCACACACACTTGCAAGACTGTCTGTCCCCTGGCTTTGATGATTTTCTCCCATCTGTCTCCCTTTCTCTCTCTGCCTCTGTCTCTCCCCCTGTCTCCTGACTCTATGCTTCAGTTTTTCTGACTTTCAGCCTCTATAGCTGTCTCTCCAGCATTTATCTAATCCTATTTCTCAGTATCTGTTTTTCTTTCTCCATCTCTGTTTCTGGTGCTTTGTCTTCATGTTTCTTAGTCTATCTTTCTGTCTCTCCATCCCTAATGTGTCCATTCCTTCTGTCTGGCAGGAGGTTGGGGCAGGGTGAGAATTCCCCCAGTTTGGGTTCCTCTAATCACTGTGCCCTAACCCCACCAAATCTCCCTCCCCATTACCTTTACCCTCTAACACTTAACCCACAATAAATGATGAGTAGTAAGGGGGAATTTAGGAAGCAAAGTGAGAATAAAAAAGTATAGGGGACATGTCTTCCCTCCTTTACTCACCCCTCACCAATCTCTTACTCCCCCCCTTTGTCTTCTCCCTTACCTTTAAATCCTATTCTTTCCCTGCTTAACCTTTACCTCTCCCTTCTCTTTTCCTTTTTCTTAATCTTCCCCAATTCTTTCTCTCTCTCCATCTTTATACTTGCTTTTCTCCTCTCAGAAAGATCTTCTTGACCTCTCCCAAATGCTCTCCTGCCCTCTGTCTAAACCTTAACATTAACCTATCCAGTCCTTCACTTATTCTGTGCCCCATTAAGGATCAAGTCTTAGGGATTGGCTCCAATCAGGGACCTTCCAATAGTCAATATCTCAATTCTATTCCTGCTATTCCTCTTCTTGCCCTACCTCAGCTCTCAATATGTCAAATTTGGGAAAGAAGAATCTACTGGTGGCAGACCTAAAGGTTCTTCCTAGTATCTGTGTTCCCTCAGACTTAATAGGCTTTTCTCTCCCCATTCTTCTGGACTCCTACCCTGAGAACAGATTTATAGGGTGGTGGAATTAAGCCTCTCACTAAAGGTCATTGTCTCAGGGAAGGTTGTCTCCAGCCCTAATGTACAGTTGACCTCTCTCCTGTCCAGAAACTCTTGCCCTATTGTCCATCCAAAAGTGCCAGGGGAGGAAAGTAGGACTTAGCTCCTCTTGGGTCCTACTATCTTCCTATCACATGGTTGGGTCAAGGTCAGGGAACTTACTCTCCACCCAACCCTATAGAAAATCCACCAGTGATGAACCAGGTTCAGCTCTATTTTCCCCACTGGTAGACTCTGGTTCTCACTCTTGACTAAAGGGTGGAGGAAGGAAACTTGAAAAACATGGGACCTCTGCTCTTCTTTATGCTAGAGCTAGAAACAGAGTGGAAGGTGGCTCTTCAGATAGGCTGAGTTGGTTGTGATTTTTAACAGAACTAAACTGAGACCACCACTACTGACAAATGGTTTTCACCTTTCCCAACTTAGGCCAATGGCTACCACTATCTGCCAAGCTGGGAGCTAGGACTTGGGTCTTTTCTGCCCTGTATCCACCTAAGAATTATATGTTGTCAGGTTCAGCTAGGTGGCACAGTGGATAGAGCACAGGCCCTGGAATCAGGAGGACTTGAGTTCAAATCCGGCCCCAGACACATAACACTCACTAGCTGTGTGACACTAGGCAAGTCACCTAACCCCAATTGCCTAAAATAAATAAATAAATAAATAGAATTATATGTTATTGATGCACCCTGTTCTTCAGTTTCTTTCTTTATATGTGTACATGAGTCTTGGTCCATCACTGGGTGAGAAAGCAAGAACAAGTCAATAAGCTCCCCAGAGAGAGGTCCTGAAGGAAGTTAGGGAGAGGACTATTTGCTCAGCATCTTGGCTTTCATTAGTCCTGATTTCAGCCACCATTCAGCTAGACCCAGGCCGGCAGGGGAGGGACCTTGGAGACCTAGGATCTGGGGGGAGGGAAAACTCAGGTTCTCCTTCTGCCCACATCTGCTTATCAGGCAGCTTGGGCCTCATAGTTCATTCTGGTCTCAAATCCTGCCTCCCCCTGCAGATAGCCCCTCTGCCCCAGTCAATGTCACAGTCAAACAACTGACGGCCAACTCAGCTATGGTGAGCTGGGATGTGCTGGACGACGAGGTGGTCATTGGGTTTGCAATTTCTCAACAGGTAATATCAAACCTAGGGTAAGGTGGGGTGGGGGAGGTGTGAGGAAGGTGTGAAGGAGGAAGGGGAAGTGTGTTGCATGGGGTTGCATTGACTGACTTCTTTCAGTCACAGAGACTGGGCCTGCAGGTGGCATGTTGTGGGGAGGGAAGAATACATGGTAAGAATTGGGCAGTTGTCATGGGGAAGTGACCGGGTATGTGTGAGGGTGGGGCTGTTGTTGGGGTATAGATAGGGGGTTGGAGACAATGAGAGTACAGGGAAAAGGAAGTGGGGTTGCATGGAGAGAAGCTGGATGCAGTGAAATGGAAGGAATGGACAGAAACTGGAGGCAGTGGAATACTGGGGGAGGGGGTGGCAATGTAGAAAATGAGGAAGCAGTGGAGAGCAGTATGAATAGGACACTTCATGGAGTGGGGGGCCAGGGGGCCAGAGGCCGTATGGGGCTGCATGGACAGGGCCTAGAGGAGGTGGGCAGACAGCAGAGAGGGGCCAGAGAAAGTAGGAGCAGCAGGGACTGGACAGAGGGATTGGAGGCAGCTTGTAGAAAGAGAAGACAGAGTGGAGAGGGGCTGTACAGGGGTTCTGGCCTTTGCTATTGCAGAAGAAAGATGTGCGGATGCTGCGATTTATCCAGGAGGTCAACACCTCTACCCGTTCGTGCGCCCTGTGGGACCTGGAGGAGGACACAGAGTACATCGTTCATGTGCAGGCCATCTCCATCCAGGGCCAGAGTCCTGCCAGTGAGCCTGTCACCTTCAAGACCCCTCGAGAGGCAGAGAAGTTGGCCTCCAAAAACAAAGGCAGGAGCTCAAGGGCTGGGGTTAGGGAAAGAGTAGTTGAGGGAGGGGGCTGGAGGAGTGAGTAGTTTAGTGAGAACATGGCCTTGTGTTCTTCAGCCTTGAATTCCCTCAAAGGCCCTCTGGAAGGCACTCTAGTCAGTGGGGACCAAGGTTTGAGAAACTTGCAGGTAGGGCTCCAGTTCTGTTACAATGTGGAGGATGGGGCTGGAAGAAAAAGAACAAGCATTTGTACAGTGCCTACCATGTGGCAAGCACAGTGCTAAGTGCTTTACAGACATCCTCTCATTTGATCCTCACAACAACACTGGGAGGTAGACGCTGTTATTATCCCCATTTTACAGTTGAGGAAACTGAGGCTCAGAGAACGAAGTGATTTGCCCAGGGTCACATAGCTAGTAAATTTTCGAGGTTGAATTTGAACCCAAGTCTCCCTGACCTCAGACCCAGTGCTCTATCCACTGCACCACCAGTCCCTCTGGGACAACAGACTCTGGAGCCAGTCATTCTTACTCTTGTGAAATATAAGGAGACCACTATGTCTGAAGCTGAGTTGTCTGGAAAGAGCATTGAGCTTAGAGACAGAAGAGGGCTGAGTAGGAATTCAGTTGCCATTTCCTATTTGACTTTGGGCAAGGCAGGTCCCCTCTCTTCCCTGAGGCTGATTTTCTCCCCATCTGATACTGATAGCCCTGTTCTCCAGGGGCCTTTCTGAAACAAATCTCTCAAGTTGCCATTGCTGGCTTCCTGTGAAGAGGTGGTTTCCAGAGAGCCGGGCCTTTTAGCAGGGGATTTGCCCCCACAGGCAGGAGGGCATGTTGACATGTGGGGGTGAGGACTGGGGTTCAGTGTTCCTCCCTCTCCCCCACAGATGAGGTGACCATGAAGGAGGTGGGAGTGAAGAGCCAGCAGCTTCGGACAGGCGAGGTGCTCATCATCGTGGTGGTCCTGTTCATGTGGGCGGGTGAGCCTTCTGGCCCTGGAGAGGGAGAGCCTGGAAGGCTAGACCCCTCTGCCTTCCCTTTGGCTACATTACGGTCACTCAGGATCCCGTCTAAACCTCTCACCATAGGGCCCCTCTGCTTGGGAAAGGAAGGAGCCTGAGATTAGGGATGTGAGGGGAGTGTGTTATCCTGAAAAGAGCTTTGGCTCAGTCGGGAGACCTGAGCTCAAAACCTGGCTCTTAGACTTGCTAGTTAGATGACCTTGGGTAAGTCACTTCACTTTTCTCTGCCTCAGTCTCTTCTTCTGTAAAATGAGAATAAGGACACTTGTACTGCCCACCTCATAGAGTTATCAATTCCATTCAATTAAATTCAGTGAGCATTTATTCATGTGTTAGGTTCTGGGGATATAAGACAAAAAAGAAACAGTCTTTGCTAGCAAGGAGTTTATATTCATAAGGAAAGAGTTCATATACCAGAAAGCACAGAAAGGTTGAGTTCGTGGTGACGCTAGTGGCGATCTCTGAGAGAGGGCGCCAGAATGCTGCATGAAATTCTTCCCAGGACACCCCTGGGGGGGCCTGGGTCCCTGATCCTTTGTCTAGTCTTTCCTCTGAAGCCAGAGCCGTGGATCTTTGGCTGCTACTACATCTGGGCTAGGAGATGCACGTTTGCAGGGGCTTTGGCCCTATTGCCTGCAACTTTCTCTCCCTTTTGGCCCCAGGCTTCTCCTTCCCCCATCCCCAAAAGGAGACTGCTCTCCAGAAGTCACCATGCAAGTGTACCAAGACTGCTCAAGCAGACAGTCTCTTAAGTGGGGGGAGGAAGAGAAGGAATAACAAGAAAACACTCCAACACACACACACACAGTGTCCCTCGGGCTGAGGGCTGAGACCCTTGCTCTGGCCTCTCACTGCTCTAACCTCAGCCCTCACCTCCCCAGGTGTCATCGCCCTCTTCTGTCGCCAGTATGACATCATTAAGGACAATGAACCCAACAACAAAGAGAAAGCCAAGAGCGCCTCGGAGAACAGCACCCCAGAGCACCAGGGCGGGGGCCTCCTTCGAAGCAAGGTGAGGGTGCCCTTGGGGCCTGGCTCCCTCTCTGTCCCAAGGGCCCTGACAGTGGGGGGAAAGTGGGCCTTGGACAGCCCATTCACTTCCTTGGGGATGTCCCCAGGGTCAGCTTGGGGCCTGGTGCTGCTACAGCTGGACGGAGACCAGCTTGGCTGTAGCCCATGTTCCAGGGGAATCTCCAGATTAATTTTGGATCCTCTCCTTTCTCGGGGTGCCAAAGGCCAGTGCTATTGAAGGGAGGGGAAGGAGGAGGAGGAAGAGGAGGAAGAGGATAGGGGAAGGAGAAGGGAATTTCTGGTTGGATGAGGTACCAATCTGGGAAAGCTTCTGCCTGACTGCATGGCCTTGGGCAAGTCACTTACCATGTTTGGGCTTTTATTCCCTCCTCTATAAAACAGATATGAAAACCTCTTACCTACTCATTGGGCTTTGAGCACCTGGGAAGAACAGAACTAGAAGACCATTGTTCTGATGACGGTCATTCAGCTCCTGGTCCTCTCCATCTCCTCTTCTCTCTACGCTATCAGCCTTCTCACCTCCCTACCCCCAGAGCTGGGTTTCCTCTTCTCAATCCCTGCTTCCAGCATTTCTCTCTCCAGTGTGCTTTCCCTGAGAAGCAGCATCTCTCTGTCTCTCTGTCTCTCTCTCTCTCTGTCTCTCTCTCTCTCTCTCTCTCTCTCTCTCTCTATCTATCTATCTATCTATCTATCTATCTATCTATCTATCTCCATACTCACCAGCTCCAAAAATCCTCTCAATGGATCTAGTTGTCATAGGTATGCTGAAGCTCCAAGACACCAAGGACCAGTTGGAAAGATTGTAGTGAGGGGTGATGTTCATTGTCCTTGGGAACCCAAGAAATTGGGGGAGGCTACAGGCCAAACAGGAGGCTGGGAAACAATCAGGAGACTCCAGCATGTTCACGCTCTGGAGGGACTGGCTGGTTCCCAGCTTTCCAGTCCCAGAGGTCCAGGCTTCAACAAGGGTAGCCTGTTCCCACCACCCCCATAGGTACTCCACCTCTGACTTCTCACCAGCTCCAAGCCTACTAACTAGGCTTGGCAATTCCTCCCATTTTTCTCTCCCCACCTCCCAAATCTAAGCTCTTTATGACCATCACTGAAGCGTGACTGGCTTTCTGCAGGGAGACAACCAACATTTCTCTTTCCTTTTCCTTTTCCCTCTACCTCCCTGTACCCCACTCCAAAAAGCCCTGGAAGCAGGGAGAGGAAGGACTGTTCCATGGTTTGGGAAAGCATTCAGCTGGCTGCATGCTCCACTCCTGCCTTCCACCTCCATTCCTGCCTTCCACCTCCTTGTCCTATAATGGAAAAGGCAACTGAACTTTAAAAAAATTCAAAATCCTGATTTAAAAAAACAAGCCCAGAACCCAGCCCAATCACCAACTATTAGTATCTCCTATATGGAACCACAACACCTCTGACACAGTGCCCACACAAGCCAATCTTGTTTTTGCTTTCTCCTCTTTCCCAGACCACTTTCCCCTTTTGGAAAATGCACAATGTTTTCAGTCTTTCTGCATCCATGCCTGCTAGACTGAAAGCACCTAGAACCTAGCTAAGCCATGTTCCTCAAATAACTTGACAGGGAAGAGTAGGGCTTACAAGCTGGCAGTGATGCAGCTGCCTCCCTGCTTCTTCTCATCCAGCCATTATCAACTCTGGTTGGTTTGAGTGTGATGCACAATTTCCAAGATGATGTGTATGACACTCTTAGACTCTGTTCCAGTGAGTCTGAGAATGCCCCCATGGGACCTGGTCCACCTCTCATCACTCATTCTCCTATCTGTCTTCCTATGCCCTGCATCAGCTTGGTTCCTTGTGTCTAGTATGAGATGATGAGAGTGGGGTCAGAATCATTTTCAGAACTCTGATAGAGTTTTATCAATGATGGATCTAACAAGTGTCACCATTATCTGTTCACATCTGAACCTGGGTGGTTATGGGAGAATCCTGACATTGAGCCGATCCTGCTCAAAGACGGTTGGCAGAACCGATAAGTTCTCTAGCTGATTGAGCACCAAGACGGGCAGGGCAGGGCAGGCCTGGCCACTTTCTCTCTTCTGGGCATTTCTTCAATTCACCATCTCATCCAGGACTCTATAAAAGCCAATGGAGACCTTATATGCTGCTCTAGGTCCTTAGGAGAGTTCGGCTAGGAAAGATCTCCCTACTGCCTCTTTCTAGTGAGGAGGGATGCTTAAGAAGAGACTGGTGACAGAAGAAGAATTAGAAGGTAGTATAAAAAGCCTGATCTTCCCAACTCATGAAGGTTCATGACATGAAGAAAGACTGGTCCCCACATCTGCTACCAGAGAATGAATATGGGACCCTGAGATCCAAGAAAGAACACCAGCACCCAGGCCATAGCACCTCTAGCTGCTGCAAGCAGTGACAGTACCATCTTGCCATCCCCACCCCCCATCCCCAGGTTCCCACTAGCCAAGATCAGCCACCACCTCATTTTCCCATTCACTTTCAAATGGGTGACCAGGGGAGGCGGAAATGGAGTGAAAGGCTGAGCCCCTCCACATCGAGGGCTTCCCCACCACACCAAGAGAAGAGCCTCTCCATCTGTCTCATCTTGTGACTTCCATCCTTGCTGAATGGGGCTTCCAGCCAAGGCTCCTTAGAGAAGAGGTCTTTACCTCCGGTACTGTTAGAGCAATAACCAATTTTTAATGTAAAATAAAAAGGAAAATGAAAAGGCAGTTTGTTGTCATCTGGTCCATGCCCTGGTGCTGCCCTTGACTGTCAGTGGCTGGTGGTAAGCCAGGGTGTGTCAAGGAGGATATGGGGAAGCTGCTGGAGGAGGGGGGGAAGCTGGGAAGGAATGGCTTCCCTCCCTCCCTCTTGGCCTGAAGCTTTTTGAGAGATAGACGCCTGCTAGCCTAGCCCGTGCTGGAAGAGAAATTTTGAACAGATGGGGGTGCCATGCAGGAAGAGAAAAGAGCTGCTCTGTTATCATCTTCCAGAGGCTCCCCCACCCCCACCCAAATTCAAGCCCAGTAGCCTAGCTGCAAAAAACACCCAGCTTAGGGCTGCTGGATGAGGTTCTTCTGGTGCCTTTAGATAAAACATAGGAGCTGGATGGGGAAATGCAGAGTGCTTCCTTTTTGGGATGTAGGTCAGTACTTCCTCTGGCCTGGGTAAAAACAATTCTCCCATCTCTCCTGGGCAGCTGCTTTCTCTGGTTCAGACTTCCCAGTGGGGTGTTCTAGGCTATAAAAAGAACATTATGATGTCCCCTGACAGAAGGCTGAAAGGTTCGATAATAACTCTTATTAGGTGAGGAAAATACCGGGGTTCTCATGGTCCTGCCCTAAACTGAAACCAGGATGGAACTGAAAAACCACATAGGTCTGTCCTAAGGGATCTCCCCCTTCTGGGAAATACTGGGGTAAGAGGGACGGGACAGAATCCTTCTGAGGCTGATCAAGGTGGAGGGATGAGGCAGTCCACCCAGAAGCTGAGGAGGAGAAGGGAACAGTGCTTTCAAAAGCTCTCAGAAGGGGGCAGCTAGGTGACGCAGTGGAGTCAGGAGGACCTGAGTTCAAATCTGACCTCAGACACTTGACACTTACTAGCTGTGTGATCCCAGGCAAGTCACTTAACCCCAACTGCCTAGCAAAAAAACAAACAAACAAACAAAAAAGCTCTCTGAGGACCACCTCATGCTGCAGGGAAGTAAGGGGAGGAATACCAGCAGCTCAGACTCAGCGTTCCTATTTAGCAAAGGAGACTAAGAGGACTGGTTCTTGGGAACCTGGAACTGCTGTCTCCATTCTGCTCAACAAATCTCATGTTTATATAATAATTTAAAGTTTGCAAAGTGCTTACACATATTATCTTGTTTGAGATGTTGTATCCTCATATAAACATAGTATTCAAAATAAAATGTAAGCAGCTTGAGGGCAGTCCCTGGTACTTAGTAAATGCCTAATTATGGCTTATTGGATTGGTTTGGATTGGGCTTCACAACAACCCAATGCAGTGACTATTGCTGGCATTATCAGTCCCATTTTATAGATGAAGAAACTGAGGCAGAGATTAAGTGACTTGCCCTAGGTCACAGAGCTAGTGTCAGAGGCAAGATACAAGCCCTCAGCCTCACTACAAATCCAGTACTCAAGTCCTACACATGAGTTCAACCAAATCAAACACATGAATACAAGGTCTAAAAGGCAGAACTAGGGAAAAGATCTGGGGTTCTTACTGGACTGCAAGATTGATGAATCAACAGTATAACTTAGCAGCCAAAAAAATGCTCATTATGATCTCAGGCTACATGGATTCATTTATTTAATTTTTTTAAACAAATGTGTTGAGAACTTCTTTTTACATCACTTTTATTTCTCTTCCTGACTCCTTCCTTCATTTCCCTCTACCCTATCCAATAAGTCATCCCTTCAATAAACATTTATCAAGCATCTAAAACGTATCTAAGGATACACATTCCCTACCTTCAAGGAGTCCATATTCTACAAAGAGCAAATATAAGAACATTTGAAACAGAGGAGGACATTAACAACCAGGAAGAACGCAGTGAAGGCTTCATGGAGGAAGTGGCCCCTCAGCTTAGCCCTGAAAAGAACATATGTCCAGAACAAGGACATCAATGTCCCATTCTCTTCTGCCCTGGCCAGAATCCATCTATACCATTGTGTTCAGTTCTGGGACCGCCTTTTAGGCAGGACATTGACAAACTGGAACAAGCCCAGAGGAGGACAAGTGGAATGAAGAGGGAACTAGAAACTAGAATCATAGAATCTGAGAATTGGAAGGCCATGTAGTCAAACCTAGTCACAAAAGGAACCCCCACTATAACATACTCAACAAGTGGTTGTCTAGTCTCTACTTGAAACATCCAAGGAGGGGGAACCCACCAGCTCTTGAAGCAGCCCATTCCACTGACAGACAGCTCTCCTTGCTGGGAAGATTCTCCTTGACATCAAGCCTTAATTTGCTCTAGTAATTTCTGTTCATTGTTCCTTGTTCTCCCCTCTGGGGCCAAAAAGATTAAATTTAATCCCTCCTGCCTTTCAGATGACAGAATGACAACCCTTCAGATATATGGCTATTATATCCTCTCTGAGTCTACTCTCCTGCAAGCTAAGCATTCCCATTACCTTCAACCCACACTCACAAGGCATGGACTCAAAGTCCTTTGCCATCTTCATTGCTCTTCTATGACTATTCTCCAATTTAGCAACATCCTTTAAATGATGCTGCCCAAAACTGAACACAACATGCCAAAAGGGGTCTGATGATTTGTGGGATGAAGGAATGGGAAGGATATGTTTAACCATAAGAACAAAGAAAAGAAGAAGGAGGAGGAGGAGGAGGAGGAGAAGGAGGAGGAGGAGGAGGAGGAGGAGGAGGAGGAGGAGGAGGAGGAGGAGGAGGAGGAGGAGAAGAAGAAGAAGAAGAAGAAGAAGAAGAAGAAGAAGAAGAAGCAGCTGCATTTCTATAGCCCTTACTATGTACCAGGTACTGTGCTAAGCACTTTACAATTACTATCTCATTTGATCTTCACAACAACCCTGAGAGGTAGGTGGTGTTTTTATCTCCATCTTACAGTTGAGGAAACTGAGGCAGACAGGGGTTAAGTGATTTGTCCAAGGTTACCCAGCTAGTGTTTTGAGGCTCTGTCCACTGTGCCACCCAGCT